GTCTGTTGGAAAATAAATTTATTCATTTTTAACATTTAAAAAATAAGCTGTTTGTCCTTGTTTTTACAATTAAACAAACAAAAGTTATACAACTTCAAAACTAAAGCTTTATGGTTGAAAAGTCCCACTGGCCCATTCCAAGGACGTAATTTTCACTTTAGAAGTGGGGGGGACACGGGGGGTATCTTTACAGTATGCTCTAATGGGAAACAGGCTTCAACACAAACGGTTGCTTTCCGCTTGGTCCTAGAGCTCAACCAGTGTCAGTTTAATATAGCGTAATATTGTTTTTGGATGGTAAAAAGTGCAGGGGTCAAAACTTGACGTTGGAAAAAGTGGGGGGACATGTCCCCCCCCCCCCCCCCCCCCAAAATTACGTCCATGGCCCATTCCCAGGATCCCTCAGCAACAGGATTATCAAAGTTCACCGAGCAGACGGAAAACGTGACGGAGCTTCACCGGGAAAGTTGGACTAAAACGTAAAGAAAGCAGAAGTTACCTTTCAGCTGAGTCTCCATCCGGCTGGAGTCCCCTTTAAGCCTCAGACGTGGACAAACGAAACGTGCAACAACACCATTACTAAACTCACGTCTAAGAGCGGACACAATTAAGAAGCGTTGGTTGTTTAAACCGAATAAACTCTTCATTACTTCAGTGGGAATCTGGAGGAGATTCAACTGTCAAACATGGTTTTGTGTTGGTGAACTCTTCACCACAGGACGCTCATTTCACCATAAAAAACACAAACTCAGCCATAAAAGCGCCACAAGAGCAGAGGAGTGACGCCCGCAGGAGCAGGTGTCTGCACAGTGAAGGCCGGAGCTGGACTGGTGCAGTGGGGCCGGTGTCCGGTGCTTATGTGCAGCGCCTGTAGAAACTGAAGTGGTAGTCTGTGAAGAGCGCCCCCGCGTAGTGATGGTCAGTACTGCAGTCTGCTTGACCCTAAGGAAAGAACGCCACAGTTCATCAGCTCACACGAGCCCGGTGTGCTCTCCTACCAAACCGTGAATGTTCTTACAGCCACTGCAGAGCGGAAGTGATACGAGCCGTCGTACAGCCGAGCCACGTGGAGCGGCCACTCGTGGTCCCCCTGAGGACACAAAGCTGCTGTTAACTCAACCTGCAGAACTACTGTAGCTAACGCACGTGGAGGCCACCAGTTTAGACCCGGTCTGACGAGCAGAGAAGTCAGATCGGTTTCCACCTGGACCATTTTAGGTGTGACACACCCTAAGCCTGGTCACTTCCTCTCCGAGTGAACACGGCTCTGCGTGGGCTGACCTGATGATTGGTTCTGCATTTGTTCTTTTCTCCAGATTAACCATGTCACTACCATGGGGAGCAGAGCTGTCAGCCGCTCTGCTCCCCGTCTCTGGAAGTCACTCCCCCCAGACATCAGAACAATCGACAGTTTCACCCTCTTCAAATCCAGACTCAAGACTCGCCTGTTCAAATCAGCCTCTGACCTCTGACCTCGGACTTTATCTGAATGGTTTTTCTTCTTTTCTATGTTCTTTTCTTCATTGTGTTTTATTGTTCTTTTAATGTATTTTACTGAATGTAGTTTTCCTGTCATGTGACCTTGGGTGTCCTGAAAGGCGCTTTCAAACTAAATGTATTATTATTATTATTATAAGCAGTGAACTGGTCGTTTAACCACATTTATGTATTAAAGCTTCTTTCCGGAGTATTTCTCTTATCCGATGGCACCATCTAGTGGCTGACAAGCATATCACACTCCTTCCGTGTTTTTAAAATGGCGACTTCACGCTTTTAGTTTATAAATGTGCTTCTGTAGCGATATACCGCTAAAACACGCTGTTTTACGAGTATTATTCTCATGTCACGTTGTGTTCTCATATATTTATATTTTAGAGACTTTCTTGTCCGTAAAAAGCTCATCAAGTCTGCATCAGCCGAGGTATTCCTTAAATCTGAAGCACATTAGCGGTAGTCTAACGCTATTGGTTAGTTCTGGTCGGTGCTCAGTTTCCTATTGCACGGAGCTCTGCGGGGCGGGGGACGTGGTTAGCAATAAAAAACGTTTTGTTTACATTACATCACAGTACATGGTGAGATAATCACTTTTAGGGATTTCTGAAAAATCTTACATCATTTCTGAAAGGGGAAAACTCCGGAAAGCTGCTTTAAGGTGATGATTTGTTAGCATTACTGACACCTGTTAGCACATGGAAGCTAATGCTGGGTCTGTACATCTGTTACTGTCCTGTTTTCCTGTTAAAACGTAACATTGCTGTTGCGCTGAGTCATGATTTACAGACATTATTTCTCTGTTTTATGGCAGAAGGAGATGCTGTTTGAAGCTACCCTGTTCTGTACAACAAAAATGTATAAAAATGATCAAATGTTTAGTTAAAATGATCATAAATGGTTTTCATAACATTATAAGTTCCCATCTCTACTTTAAGAGTTGAATCTAAAGCTAATTTATCTCAGTTGATGTCAGAGTAATTAATTGTTTTAAAGCTTATTTTTCATTCTTGATTTTTTCAATAGCAATGAAAAATATATGTGTTCCTTCATGTAAACATGATATGCTTCTTCTCCATCCATCCATCCATCCATCCATCCATCCATTTTCATCCGCTTATCCGGAGTCGGGTTGCTGGGGCAGTAGCCTAAAGCCTGGTTTATGCTTCTCCGTCAGCTCCGCAAGGGACAGACACGCACGGATTGACGGAAGCATTTTGCTCTCATGCTTCTCCGTCTCCTGGAGAGCAATTCCCCGGCAGGACAGCAGAGGGCGTAGCGCTGTTCTGTGGTATCCTGTCATGTATCGGTCCAAGATAGTGTGTTTATATTGTGTTTTTTGTATAGAAGAGACTTTTTAACACGGACACATTTGTCTCTCATTCTTCTCCACTTCATGCGCTCTTCACCTCTAAACCCACGTTTCCTGTCATTTCCGTCCACAAATAAAACGCTTGCTGCGCATCTTTTCACTCCTCCAGTCACGGGGGAATTAAACGTTCATGTTTTTAGAGTTTTTTCGCGAGATATTCTTCAAGCTTCTCCGTGTCTGCCTCTAGTTATCCTCGGCTCTCTTTATGTTTTTGAGGGCGCAATGGCGGAGCTGTAAACAGCGGCGTCCTGACCAATCACAAGCTTGCGTAATCCGTCTCGTTCGACGGATGTTTAAAAAAGTGGGCTCGACTCCGTACGTACTTGCGAGCCTGCCGGAGCCCTACGCAAGGACGGATAATGGCGTTGCGTGTCTCTGCACTGACGCAGACGGAGAAGCATAAATCAGGCTTAAGGTCAGAGGCCCAGACTTCCCTCTCCCCAGCCACTTGGGCCAGCTCCTCCGGGGGAATCCCAAGGCGTTCCCTGGCCAGGTGAGAGACATAGTCCCTCCAGCGTGTCCTGGGTCTACCTTTAGGTCTCCTCCCGGTTGGATGTGCCCGGAAAACCTCACCAGGAGGCGCCCAGGAGGCACCCTGACCAGATGCCCGAGCCACCTCAACTGGCTCCTCTCGATGTGGAGGAGCAGCGGGTCTACTCCGAGCCCCTCCCGGATGACCGAGCTTCTCACCCTATCTCTAAGGGAGAGCCCAGCCACTCTTCGGAGGAAACTCATTTCAGCCGCTTGTATCCGCGATCTCGTTCTTTCGGTCACTACCCAAAGCTCATGACCATAGGTGAGGGTAGGAACGTAGATCGACCGGTAAATCGAGAGCTTCACATTCTGACTCAGCTCTCTCTTCACCACGACAGACCGGTACAACACCCGTATCACTGCAGATGCAGCACCAATCCACCTATCGATCTCACGCTCCAGCTTTCCCTCACTCGTGAACAAGACCCCGAGATACTTAAACTCCTCCACTTGGGGCAGGACCTCATCCCTGACCCGGAGAAGGCCTTCTACCCTTTTCTGACTCAAGACCATGGTCTCAGATTTAGAGGAGCTGATTCTCATCCCAGCTGCTTCACACTCGGCTGCGAACCGCTCCAGCGAAAGCTGAACATCACGTTCTGATGAAGCCAACAGGACCACATCATCTGCAAAAAGCAGAGACCTGATCCTCAGGCCACCAAAACAGATGCCCTCCACACCTTGGCTGCACCTAGAAATCCTGTCCATAAAGGCATTACTTCTTCTAAAAAGCAAAATGCAAAGACAAGCTTCAGCTCTTTCATTTGTTAGATATCATTTGGGCTGTCTTCTTGTTTTAAAGGACTAGAAATCATTTAAGTAGTTTGAACTGTAAAGATGATTTAAAAGAATGGATCTTAGTTTATTCTTTAAATTGGCCTTTTTTAATTTTACAGGTAAATTACTGGCATGCGTAGCTGCTCACCTGTGATACTTACTTGTGTATTTGAGGGATACCTCCCTCCCGTGACCGTATTTGCATCCAGCAGAGAAGAACAAGTCCTGGATTCATCTGAGCGACACAGATGAACCACTAACAGCTCTGTGGAGCTAAAACAACAAACTGGTTTCAAACCAATTCATTTACCATTAATCCACATTCTAAACAAACAGCTGCTTCACCACATCGTAAAGAGGGGTAAAACACGGGAGTGTCCCGGGTAAAGCAGGACACTTGGCAGGTATGAGCTAAGGCACAGGTGTCAAGCTCAGGTCCTTGGGGCCAAATTAGGCTCGCCGTCTATTTTTATTTGGCCCGCGAGCTCAAATACCAAATATAATTTAAAACTGGCCCGCCGGCCAATGGTGCCGCAAGGACTACAAATCCCATCGTGTTAGCGCGCCTGTCGAAGCGCCTCCTCCTTTCTGTTTACACTCATTAGCATCCATGCTACTACTCGGCGTCTGCAGCGTCCCCTCCTCCTGAAAACACTCCTGTTACTGAGTGCTGAGTTTACTCAGTAATTTGTCAACTTTGAATCCCAGAAACGGATTTGAACCACTCACTAATCTGTTCTCGGCCGACATTGAAGGCGCACCGACCAACTTCCAGACCAAGATGGTTTAACTCCAGTTTAGCGACACGCTCCCGTCAGGATGACTACAGCTGCTGTAGTGTTCATCTCCTCCCCGACACACCGACCAACTGACTGGTCCAGCTGCTCAGGTGCTCTCCATGTTCAGCAGCACAAACCTGTGTGAGCACCTGTCATCTGTGATGAAGATGAACAGATTGAGCAGAACAGCAAAGCTCCTTCCTCAGCTCAGAGCCAATCCCACAGGTGCAGGTGTGTGGCTGGAACAGGTGAGCATCACAGCAAATCAAGAGCACACTGAGCTCAGATTATTTTGGTTTTATGCACTTTTTCTGCTCCAAAGCATGAAAGTTCATAGGTGAGATTTTACATTTTCATTTAAGAGAATTACAGTTTTCTTTAAAATTTGTTGTTGGCATTAAAAGATTCAAAATATATAAAAACTAAATGCTGTACATATACACAGTTCAAGGAATTAAAACAAATCTGAGACATAATAAGTAACGAGCACCACTGATGTGTGCTTCATTTAAAATCCATGTGCTCCTGTGGTTTTCCACATTCAGTGTTGCTGCAAAAATAAGTGTGTTTCAAATGAAAAGGACCAAACGTACACATCTGTAGATAAAGGAAAATGTACCAATTTGTCTTTTACCAAAAATATTGACTTTGGCCCGCGACTTCGTCCCAGTTTTTCCATTTTGGCCCGGTGTGAATTTCAGTTTGACACCCCTAAGCTAAGGGGATCATTACTAGGGATGTCCCGATCCGATCACATACAGGAAATCGGCCCAGATCACGTGGTTTCAGACTTATCGGGCTTGGGCTTTACTTCCCGATCCAAGCCCCAATCCGGACTCGGATACTGGGTTCAAATCACAGGAAAGCATCTTGGTTCTCCTTAAAGGTTGTCACCCCCCCGATGCCCTCAACTTACACACCCAGAAGGAGCACAAAAATCCAGTTTCTTCCTTTATTATGTGAAGGACAGAAGACGGGAGTTGCCGGATTCTGAGGGCGTGGTGATTGGACACCGGCTGGTCCTTGTTATGGGTAATGAGGCCGGGGAGGACAAAAGGATGACAGATCTACCGAGTTGGTGTGTGTGGTCGACCTGTCATTGTGGCACCGGATTCTGGGGGGTGGGGTCGTTTGCAGTCGTTTAGGGCTGCCGGCGACGAAGATAGTTGAGCAGGTGGGCTGTGTTCCAGCGCTAGGAGGGAAGGCTTGACGCCTTCTTTAGGTAGAGAGGGCTGGGAGCAGTTGGGTGCCAAGACCACGCCGACATCTGCCGCCACAGACTCTGGCAGTCGGACTTACGTTGTGGATTTACCCGCCGTCCTCGCAAGCTGCACCCCGGGGCGTTGGACGTTGTCGGAAGCTCAGACCCCGGGGAGGGGGTCACATCAACCGGGACAGCTAAGTACCGCTGCTTGTTTTTATCTATGCTGGACAGCTGGTTTTATCGTGAAGGAACTTGGCCGTAGTGTTTTATTGTTGATTATGTTAATAAAGGATGTCTTTTTATGTCGTTGCCTACTGGTGTTTTTGGGTTCTGACTGGAGGGCAAGATATTCTGCCCGTGCTCCCACTGAAACTTATAATACACTGGTGTCTGAAGTGGGATCTAGCGATCCAGAATGTCAGGACCTGAAAATAACACACCTACTTCGTTGAGCTCAGCTGTAAATCAGCCCGTGAGCGTAGTGACTCGGCCGATTTTTATGCCTGAGAGCTTTTCCGGTGTTGGCCGTGAATGGGCAGACTGGGCTGAACAATTTGAAATGGCAGCCGATGTAAATAATTGGGATGAGCCCCTTAAATTAAAGTTTATGTGTCTTCTTTTGTCTGACAAGGCTCGAGATGTTTATAATGGCTTGTTCGGAAGTGTTAAAGCTAATTATGCCGCGTTGAAAGAGCAAATGGGGAGGTGCGTGGATCCGTGTGACAGCGCTGATTGGAATAGAGCCGTTTTCTCCGCTCGACGCAGATGGCATAATGAGAGTGTTCGTGAATTTCGGATGGCATTACGACGATCTGCTGTTAAAGCTTATCCGACAGCGGATCCCAACACACAAGACCTGTTGGCTAAAGATCAGTTCATAGCTCATGTGGGGAATGGGGACATGAGAGTGAGTTTACGGAGTGCCAAGCCTGCGTCACTTGAAGCAGCCATCAACCTGGCGGCGGAGCTTGAGCTCATTAAGGGTTTGGAGACCAGCTCAGTATCTGACGCAAGAGTGAGAGGAATGACTGAAAAAGATGCTGATGAAGAAAGCATTACTTCGCTAATGGGGGTGGTTGAGAGCTTGAGACAGGAGGCGAAATCCCTCCAGAATGTGCTGCACACACTGTCTGTACCTGCTGCATCTGGTCCCCACCATGACGCTTAGAACACAAACTTACAGCCTAGTCGAAAATATTCCCAGAAAAAGGGAAATGGGAGGTTGGGAGGATGCTGGGAGTGCTGTTGTAACAGGCATATACGTCGGGACTGTCCTTACGTTCAGGACAAAGAGGGGGCGCGTACAGTGGGTCAAATGCCCGCCCCCCTCTCCGTTGTTGAGACCCCTATAGGAAGAGGAAATTCTGGGTATTTGAAAGCCAGGATAGGTGGATGTGAATGCCAGGTTCTAATAGATACCGGAGCTTCACACTCTGTGATTTCACGAAAGCTGTGGTTATCCTTCACTCGAGGGGGGTGTGAATTAACTCCATACGGGGGTAATGTTACAGCTGCGAATGGGGGAGGAATGTGTATTATGGGATGTTGGCAAACAACGTGTCAGCTGGGCCCCCTGGCTTTCGTGGTGGAATTCTTGGTATCAGACATCCCCTCAGATGAAGTATTGTTAGGATTTGACTTTCTGTCCAAACATGGCATGGTGGTTGATCTGGGCACCAAAACGTGTAAGATCATGGGCAGAGTGTTCCCACTGCTTGACTTGGAACCTTTTTTAAGTCCACAGGTTGTAGTGGTGCAAACAGATACCGTAGTCCCGCCGCGGAGCGAAGCTATAATATCGGGACAGATTAAGGACAGCTGGGGTGATTATGCCCGGGGGTTGCTGGAGCCGTCTGATCACCTCTCTAAGCGCTGTGACTTGCTTGTGGAGAGAGTTATTTGCAAGGTTCATCAGGGCCAACTCCCAGTGCGAGTGATGAATGTGAGCGACGACCCACTAATATTGAAAGGCGGCATGAGAGTGGGTACGCTTTTCACCGATGTTGAGGTGGAGGACGAGAGGACAGATCGTGTGAAGGAGGGTCAAGGCTCTCAACCTTGGACAGTGGAATCGTTGATGACCCAGTTTAGAGTCGGTGAGAGAGGATTTGCCGCTGAGGAAGTCTCAGTTGCTCCTACAAAATCTGTCTCTATTCAGTCGAGGGGATACAGATTTGGGAAGAACACAGATTATCTCTCATGAAATTGACACCGGGGAGGCCGCACCCATAAAAATGTGCCCCCGAAGGATTCCACTTCATCTACAACAGGAAGTGACAGATAATTTGAGAGACATGTTGGCAAATGACATTATTCACCCCTCATGTAGTCCGTGGGCTGCCCCTGTGGTTCTGGTTAAAAAGAAAGGGGGTGGATATAGATTTTGTGTGGACTACAGGAAACTGAATGATGTCACTAGAAAAGACACTTATCCTCTTCCCCGAATCGATGATGCTTTGGATAGCTTGGTGCATGCCCAACGGTTTTCAACCTTGGACTAGTGGTTATTGGCAGGTGGAAGTAGACCCTAGGGACCGACATAAGACTGCTTTTATCACTCGCCAGGGACTGTTTGAATTTAATGTGCTAAGTTTTGGGTTGTGTAATGCCCCTGGTACATTTCAGCGCCTGATGGACCTGATTTTGGCTGATTTGCAATGGACTGTTTGTTTAGTTTACCTGGATGACATTATCGTGTTCGGGCGTAATTTTCAGGAGCATCTAGCGCATCTTGGAGAAGTTGAGGCAGTCTAATCTAAAAGTAAAGCCTTCTAAATTTGACCTTTTTTCTACGCAGGTCCATTATCTAGGTCATGTGATTTCCGCAGAAGGCGTTAGGCCAGATCCAGCTAAAATAGAGGCAGTAAGAGAGTGGCCCATCCCAACTAATCAGACAGAGGTCCAGAGCTTGTTGGGCCTGGCGTCTTATTATAGACGGTTCGTGAAAGGCTTTGCGGACATTGCTCGTCCATTGCATCGGTTACAAGAAAGAGGAAAACGCTTTTGGTGGGATGAAGACTGTCAGGAGGCCTTTGAGAAACTTAAAGCCTGTTTGATAACTGCTCCTGTACTGACCTACCCCGACCCCAAGAAATCTTTTACCTTAGATACAGACGCCAGCGAGGTAGGGATTGGGGCTGTGCTATCACAGGTTGAAGGGGAAACAAAGCAGGTTGTAGCATATGCTAGTAGAGCCCTTACAAAGCAGGAACATAAATATGCCACGACAAAGAAGGAGCTCTTGAGTCGGGTCACTTTCACTAAGCACTTCAAACATTATTTATTGGGCAAGGAATATGTTTTAAGGACAGACCATAACTCTCTACGATGGCTGCATAATTCCAGGGTTTGGAGGGACAACTGGCTAGATGGGTGGAACAGCTGGCCAATTTCCAATATAAAATCATTCATCGGCCAGGTAGACTGCATAGTAACGCGGATGCCCTTTCCAGACTGCCAAGTTGAAAACCAGAGAACTTATCAGCCGGTGAGGGAACGCAGCCCTTGGAAGCTGAGTTGAGGGTGTGCTCCCTACAAGAGGGAGGATCAGGGTCTAGCCGGGCTTTAGAGAAGGATGAACTCAGCCAGGCGCAGCTGGATGATCTGGTGCTGAAGCGAATCAGGGATGCCAAACAGGGTGTAGAGCGTGTAGGCCCTGATGATCCAGAAGTAAAACAGTTTGCACCTGTGTGGGACCAACTCGAAATTTGGGGTTCCCAGTTGGTGCGTGTAGCACCAGCAAATTCTGATGCTGCGCAGGCGGTCCAGGTTGTTTTGCCCCGGGCTCTGGTGCCAGAGGTCCTAAAACAGTTACATAATGCCCCCACCGGAGGTCATCTGGGGGTCCAAAAACTGCAAGGCAAGGTGAAAGACCATTATTGGCCCGAGTGGTTTAAGGACGTAAGGGCTTGGGTTCGTGAGTGTGCGGACTGTGGCTCGGTTAAAATGCATGGAGGAATACCGCGTGCACCTTTGGAGCAGTCACTGACCTCTAGGCCCTTTGAACGCATTGCAGTGGATATTTTGGGTCCACTTCCTGAGATCCGGCCTGAGAAATAAATACATCATGGTAGTGGGTGACTACTTCTCTAAATGGACAGAAAGCTTCCCACTCCCTAATCAGGAGGCTAAAACGATTGCGAGGGTTCTGACCGAGGAATGGGTGTGTCGGTTTGGGGTACCACGGAGCCTAAATTCCGACCAGGGGAGGAACTTCGAGTCAAAACTATTTCGAGAGCTATGCGGACTCTTGCAGATTCATAAAACGAGGACAACCCCCTATCATCCCCAGTCAGACGGATTAGTTGAGAGGTTTAATCAGACGTCGCTGACTATGTTGACTTTCTTTGTGGAGGACAATCAGCTTAACTGGGATTCCTTGCTGCCATATGTAATGTTGGCCTACAGAAGTAGCATTCACGCCAGCACATCGTCACACCTTATAAGGTTCTGTTCGGGTGAGAGATCGTGCTGCCTGTTGATGTCATGTTGGACCTGGACAAGGGTGAACCCTTTGCCTCGGTGGACGAGTATGTGACGGGACTGCAGGAAACCTTGACTGCGGTGGTAGAGGCGGTGAAACGCCATCAGTGCAGAGCCGCGGCACAACAAAAGAGGGCCTATGATTTTAGGGCCACCTGCCAGTTCTACTCGGAAGGTGAATTGGAGTGGGTCCGAAATAAGCTGAGGAGGTGGGGGGTGTGTCCCAAGCTTCAGAGACGATATAAAGGACCGTTTAGGGTTCTTGAGCGGGTGACAGATGTGCTGTACAGAATAGTACCCGTTGAGGGGGGGTCCTGAGAGTGTGGTTCACTTCAACCGACTTAAGCCGTGTACTGCTCTTTCAACAGTTGCAGCACCGATGGCTGTGGGGTCCCGAGAGAGAGCAGGACGGAGGCTGCGTTCACAGGATGCCACCTGGCAAGACACCAGCAGGGGTCATCGATGGTCTGCAGAGACAAGCAGTTCTGGTGACGCAAGTGACCCAGCCCCATCACGTGGAGAGGCTGCTCGAGGGGGTGCTGTTGCAGGAGGATCGAGAGGATGTATCCCTGGGAAGGTCGAGGGACATGGAGCTGTGGAACAACGTGTGGTTCATCAGCCGGATGCCACCAACCGTCAACCGGATGCCACCTGGGAGGACACCAGCAGGATTGCTCAACGGTTGACAGAGGCAAGTGGTTCCAGTGACTCAAGCAACCCTGCCCCATTACATGGAGAGGCTGCTCGAGGGGGTGCTGTTGCAGGAGGATCGAGAGGATGTATCCCTGGGAAGGTTGAGGGACATGGAGCTGTGGAACAACGTGTGGTTCGTCAGAGGAGGCCTCCCGCTTGGTTCAAGGATTATCGTGTGGAAGTCTAGGACTCGAGGGCGAGTCCTTCAGGACAAGAAGGGGAAGAGTGTGAAGGACAGAAGACGGGAGTTGCCGGATTCTGAGGGCGTGGTGATTGGACACCGGCTGGTCCTTGTTATGGGTAATGAGGCCGGGGAGGATAAAAGGGTGACAGATCTACCGAGTTGGTGTGTGTGGTCGACCTGTCATTGTGGCACCGGATTCTGGGGGTGGGGTCGTTTGCAGTCGGTTAGGGCTGCCGGCGACGAAGATAGTTGAGCAGGTGGGCGGTGTTCCAGCGCTAGGATGGAAGTCTTGACGCCTTCTTTAGGTAGAGAGGGCTGGGAGCAGTTGGGTGCCAAGACCACGCCGACATCTGCCGCCACAGACTCTGGCAGTCGGACTTACGTTGTGGATTTACCCCCCGTCCTCGCAAGCTGCACCCCGGGGCGTTGGACGTTGTCGGAAGCTCAGACCCCGGGGAGGGGGTCACATCAACCGGGACAGCTAAGTACCGCTGCTTGTTTTTATCTATGCTGGACAGCTGGTTTTATCGTGAAGGAACTTGGCCGTAGTGTTTTATTGTTGATTATGTTAATAAAGGATGTCTTTTTATAAGTCGTTGCCTACTGGTGTTTTTGGGTTCTGACTGGAGGGCAAGATATTCTGCCCGTGCTCCCACTGAAACTTATAATACAATTATATTATTTATATGGACTCAGAGTAGCGGGGATTATTTAGAGCAGAGCAGCAGGCAGACCGCTGATTATTCATGAACTCCAGCTGCGTTCTGCACACGGCCACAGTAACGTTTTCTAAGTTTCTAAGTGACGTCACCATAAATATGTAATTAACACACAGTCATTTGTGTCCGTTCATTTTCTCTCTGCTAAGTTCTGTCTGTATTTGAGCATGACGTGTGGACGCGCTGCAGCGCTCTTCACTGGCGCAGCCGGGCGGCGCAGCGCACACTCCGCTTTTTTTGCGGTCAATAGATCAATTTGATCTGCTGGTTAAAAAGTTACTTGTGAGGTGAAAAAGAAGGAAGCAGGCAGGAGTTTTTCTGGAGGACTGGGAGATGCAGGAAGATCAGAGACAGACAGGACAGGAAGACCAGAGACAGACAGGACAGGAAGACCAGAGACAGACAGGACAGGAAGACCAGAGACAGACAGGACAGGAAGGTCAGAGACAGACGGGACAGGAAGACCAGAGACAGACAGGACAGGAAGGTCAGAGACAGACGGGACAGGAAGATCAGAGACAGACAGGACAGGAAGATCAGAGACAGACAGGACAGGAAGACCAGAGACAGACAGGACAGGAAGACCAGAGACAGACAGGACAGGAAGGTCAGAGACAGACGGGACAGGAAGACCAGAGACAGACAGGACAGGAAGGTCAGAGACAGACGGGACAGGAAGATCAGAGACAGACAGGACAGGAAGACCAGAGACAGACAGGACAGGAAGATCAGAGACAGACAGGACAGGAAGATCAGAGACAGACAGGACAGGAAGGTCAGAGACAGACGGGACAGGAAGACCAGAGACAGACAGGACAGGAAGGTCAGAGACAGACGGGACAGGAAGATCAGAGACAGACAGGACAGGAAGACCAGAGACAGACAGGACAGGAAGGTCAGAGACAGACGGGACAGGAAGACCAGAGACAGACAGGACAGGAAGGTCAGAGACAGACAGGACAGGAAGATCAGAGACAGACAGGACAGGAAGATCAGAGACAGACAGGACAGGAAGGTCAGAGACAGACGGGACAGGAAGACCAGAGACAGACAGGACAGGAAGGTCAGAGACAGACAGGACAGGAAGATCAGAGACAGACAGGACAGGAAGATCAGAGACAGACAGGACAGGAAGATCAGAGACAGACAGGACAGGAAGACCAGAGACAGACAGGACAGGAAGACCAGAGACAGACAGGACAGGAAGGTCAGAAACAGACGGGACAGGAAGATCAGAGACAGACAGGACAGGAAGATAGGAAAATAAAAACCAAGAAAACATGGTTCTTAAAAAATTAAATGTAGGTAGATTGATCCCACTACACGTTTGTACCTGTATAAAGCAATAACTTATCAGCATGTAGTATTTATATAGTTGATACAATTCAGATCATCTTCAAAACTCCGTCCCATGCCCAGGGGTGTATCTAAGCATTTTGGGGGCCGAGGCTAATTAGACCCCTGCCAGGTATTTTAAGTTGAAGTGCTATCTGTTTTATATTAGACTTTTTATATTTGCAATTAAGTCCAAATGTGAAGAATTTATGTTATTTATTACTTGATTGTTCAAGCTACCTCACAGAAGTGATCTGTTGTTAAAAATTAAAATAAAAAGGTAATTAAATAAAAAATAAGGAACATTCTGGAACTTTTTCTTCCTTTTCTTGTTTTTTTAATGTATCGAAAGTACCGGATCGGGACTCGGTATCAATAGATTTTCAAAGTCTAATGACTCGGACTCGGAGGCAAAAAAACCTGATCGGGACATCCCTAATCATTACCACTAAGCTAATCAGCTAATGCTGTTTTCAATAGTGATGAAATAACGGTAACATCAGGGCTAACAAGCTAACGTGCATTTAGATGACTCATGCTAACGGTTAGCTACATTAGCTTTAGCGGAACATTCAAACGATTAAAAACTGCAGTCAGTTATGTTCGTGTGTGTCTCTTACTTCATGAGCAGAGTGACTTTCATGTTGAGGGGAACAAACTGGCTGATAGGAACTCTGAAGATAAATCTTCCGGGCCTGAAGAAACAACAACAAGTAGCATTTAAATATATATATATATATAAATTCCCATCTCATCCTTCCAAGCTCGGGTCCTCCACCAGAGACCTGGGAGCTTGAGGGTTCAGCAGTAATTTAGCTGTTCCTGGGTTAGTGCCCCGATGACCACGGGCACCACCGATGGCTTCACCCTCCAGACTTTCTCAAGTTCTTCTCTGAGGTTCTGGTACTTCTCTAGTTTCTCGTGTTCCTTTCTCCTGATGTTGCATCACCTGGTATCGCCACATCAGCCACAACATCTGTCCTCTGTTGTTTGTCCACCACCTCAACGTCCGGTTGGTTCTCCACCACCACGTTGTCAGTCTGCATCTGGAAGTCCCACAGGAGCTCGGCTCTCTCGTTCTCTACCACCTTAGGGGGCGTTACCCACTGTGAGCTTGGGGCTTCCGGTTCCATACTCTCCACAGATGTTTCTGTACACGATACCAGCCACTTGGTTGTGGTATGGATGCGTTCCCTGCCAGCACCTTACACCTGCAGTTATGAGGTGGATTGTCTCAGGGGCCTCTCTGCATGGCCTACACCTTGGGTCTAGTCTGGTGTAGTAGATCATGACCTCTGGTGTTCAGGGCCTGTTCCTGTGCAGCCACGATGAGGACCTCTGTGCTGTCCTTCAGACCAGCTCCTTTAGGCTGTTTGTAGGATTTCTTGATATCAGCTACTTGAGTTTTTGTCAAAGTTGGGACAGTTTATGCTCCTTTACTGTGCAGAAGTCGGTTTTGCTCTAATTATCAATTGCATGTCTTTTTTTCTGAGATGTTTGCTTGTTTATTTGCATGGATTTGTGTTTTCTTGTCATGAGCACGGAACAATGAACTTCTGATTGAGAGCAGCTGCTCAGCTCATAATCACGGACCGATACGGCTTGGGATTGGACAACTGGGGGATTAGGACTTGATATAAGGACGTTGACAGGTGTGCGAGAGGGGTAGAGACACGGGGGAAAGCCGCCAGAGAGCAACCGGGCAGCAGCGGGACTCGCCTTCCTGGAACCACGTTGGGTTGTGGTACCGACGCTTTCTATCTCCTGGGAGAGATCAGAGGACTCCGCGGGAGGATCCAGCCGTGACATCAGAATCGTTCAACGCCCGCCAAACAGCTAAGTGAAGGAATGTGAAATATTGAGGCTATTTCCTGCGAGCCTGTGGATTCTGGGAGGGAAGTGAACGCCCCCCTGAGGTGTTGTCTTGTGTTTCCCTCGCAGCGGCAGAACCGGAGCCAGGGAGGGAAGAGGAGCAGGACAGCGGCCCACCCCGGCTGATGACGAGTTGGAGCAGGTGCAATTCGTGACGGAGCCCAGACGAGGGGGGGTTGGGCCCTAGCTTGGAGATTTCCATAAACACCAGAGACTGGAGGACATCAGGGAGGCCCCTGCAGGAGAGTAAAGATAACGCACCTCGCACTCATTGGAGCTCCAGTTGGTGGGAGCAACTGTCTGAACAGCAAAGACGGTTCTTTTTACATTTTTTTACAGACTGTTTTAGAATAAAACTTTTGGATCATACCATTCGGTTTTGGTCTTTCTTTAGCAGTGGAACTTTCACAAATGCTGGAATAAGGGAACCTGAGTGGTGACATTTTCTGTCGGCGGTACATCCCATGTAGGGTTTGTCCTCCCACGATGGTATTTAATTGAGCTGACTTCTTAGGACTTGCCGTACTCGTTATCGGTATCTGGCTGTGGCTCCTTTCCTTGCGGATTCATCAAGGTTGCCCTTTGCTTGTGGGATACCGAGGTATTTGTAGCTGTCCTCAATGTCTGCTGCTGTTCCTGCTGGGAGTGAGCCCCCTTCTGTGTGGACTACCTACCCTTTCTTCGTCACCATCCGACCACACTTCTCCAGTCTGAAAGACATTCTGATATCAGTGCTGTAGATCCTGGTGGTGTGGACCAGTGAGTGGACGTCTCGCTCTTGGCGTACAGCTTGAGTCTGTACCCACTGCCAGTCTTGTTGAGGGGGGTCAGTGGGGACAGGGCGTCTCCTTGGTGAATGCCACATTTGATGGAGATTTGTGCAAATTGGTCTCAAGGGTGGATTTCCACAGCCTCACTGAGTTTGCAGTGAAGGCCCTCAGAGTCCTGTTGATGTTGTACAGCTCCAAGCATTCAACGATCCATGAGTGCAGCATCGAGTCACCGGCTTTGTTGTGATCAATCCAGGCCGTACACAGGTTGGTGTGTCGGGCTTTGCGGTCCTGGGCGACTCTTCGGTCTATCTGCAGCTGGCGTTTGGCTCCTTTGGCGTCTCTGCCGATGCCCTTCTGTTCTGTGCTCATGTATTGATCCATGTGCCCACTTGTCTTCGTCACTATGATGCCAGACAGGAGCTTCCATGTTGTGGAGAGACATGTCCAAACTCACCCTTACTCATAGCTTTACAACCACACTGTTTCTCCACTTACCCACATCCATCCCTAACGCAGTATTTGGAGTCGATCACCTGCTGATTTTCTTTAATCATGAATGTGTGAATGGTGGTGTTTTTCCCTGAGAAAGAGGAAAACATGTTCAAACAAATTTCATAACAAGATCGTCCATCACAGCTACGAAGAAAATTACAGATCTACTTAAATTCAAACATTTTTCAGTGTTTGTGCTAAAAACATGTTAAAGAGGAGAGCACTCACAGTCTCGGGCACTTTTCAGGTGGCGTGTCACTTTTTCTGTTCGTCTGTCTGCAGAACAAAAACGTAAAGGCCACGCCCCTTTCTGTTTCTTTACATGACTAAAGTTGGTTTGTCTCTCTAAAGCTGTTGTCATGACAACAACCTGCTGCTGTTACCTGTGCTCACTGTTTTTGGAGCAGTGATGTTGTAGTGTGTGCCGCCCCCTGCAGGTGAAGGGCAGCAGTACACCTCGTCACAGTACAGCAGGTGACAGAATTCCACGTCAGGCGGCCAAGAGTCCGGGGGCCTGGTGGCCGGCACTAGAGGAAAGTCACTGATTACGACTCTTGACAACAATAATCTCATGCGTTCATAGTTTATGATCTTTATAGTTCTGCTGACGTTTTGGTCGGTCTCACCAGATCTGTAAAGCAGTAATGACCGTATAATAAATAATTAATAATAAATAATTTATAGCTTAAAGTTAAATGTTGTAAACTAACTAAATAACAATTAAAATCTGATCCTTGTGAAAGACACGAGACCAGAGCAACAGAGAAGGTTCGGTTTTAGCCTCTGAGGGATTTTCTGAAACACCTCAGCAGGAATACCAGCTGATCACAGTACCTCAGGGCTTTATCTCAACCAGAGCCTCTCTCACACTGGCTGGATTATCAGTCTTTAGCTCCAGGTGGAAACAGTCTTGCTGCTGTCTGGCATGCAGCCTGGCAGCTCGATTCAGAAACAGAAGAGGACTCGGATCCCGCTCCCACTCAGCCAGGAAAACCTCTGTGTGACTCAGACGGTGGTGCAGGAACCACCATGAACCTTTAGACAGCTATTCTGTCTCTTTCACAGCATTAGCATGTGTTAGCGTCCATCATAACTGAGCCTCTCAGCTGCTCGTGGCTCTGCCTCAGTAACAATGATGCAATTCCTGAAAAACGTCTTTATTCCAGGTCTTCATCACAAAATCCAGTTGAATTCCAGAGAAACACTCCTCACTCACCAGTAACCATCCAGGGAGCAGACATGGAGGTGGTGGATACCTTTAAGTACCTGGGTGTTCACCTGAACAGCAAACTGAACTGGTCCAACAACACAGATGCTGCATAAGGGCCAAAGCCGCCTCCACCTCCTGAGGAGGCTGAGGTCCTTCAGAGTTAATTCAGCTGCTAAACTCCTTGCATCACTCTATGGTTGGCTCTGCTATCCACTCTGATGGTCTGTTGGGGTGCAGGCAGCTCTGACCGACACAGGAAGAGACTGAACAAGCTAGTTCAGCTAGTTGGGACAGCAGTAGCTCAACTGGTTGAGTGGGTTGTCCAGTAATCGGAAGGTTGCAGGTTCGATCCCGGCTCCCGACAGAGAATTCTGCTGTTGTGTCCTTGGGCAAGACACTTAACCCTCCTTGCCTGCTGGTGGTGGTCGGAGGGACCGGTGGCGCCTGTGCTCGGCAGCCTCGCCTCTGTCAGTGCGCCCCAGGGCAGCTGTGGCTACATCGTAGCTCATCACCATCAGTGTGTGAATGGATGAATGATACACTGTAGTGTAAAGCGCTTTGGAGTCCTTACTCTGAGGGGCGCTATACAAGTGCGGGTCATTTATCATTTAGTTCACAAAGCTAGCTCGGTTCTGAGCTGCCCACTGGATTCAGTTGAGACGTGTGAAAGGAGGACGCTGGGGAAGATGACCTCCATCTTAAAAAGCCCCTCCCACCACTGGTTCCACTGTGGAGACCATGGACAGCTCCTTCAGAGGCAGACGGAGACATCCCAGATGTAAACCAGACCGCTACCGTAGGTCATTCATGCCCTCTGCAGTAAGAGTGTAGAGCTCCTCAGTTGAACTGGTGCTGGCATTATCCTGGTACACAGTACCACCAACGCAATACTCCGTATGTGTTCAATACTCGTTCTATACCGGATGAACATTAGTATGTCTGCGTCTCTCATGCTGCGTAGCGCTGCAAACACAAGTTTCCTTTTCATGTGTTGTTTTTAGTGCTCCTCTAAGGCCCTGTCCACACGTAGCCGGGGATCTGCCAAAACGTAGATATTTTTCTACGTTTTGGCCTGTCATCCACACGAAAACGGATCTTTTTCACACGAAAACGGATCTTTTTAAAAACTCCGGCCAAAGTGAAGATCTGCGTTTTCTCCGTTTTGGGTGTCTGCGTGTGGACGGACAAAACTGGAGTTTTAAGGTCTGCAACGTCACTTTCCGCGACAACAAAACGCTGACATCACGTGTGCGACCTGTGTTTACACTAGCCGACAGCATGGATGCCCTCAGAGCTGCGCTCGCTTTATCAATTATCCAAGCGCTTTTTGCTTGTTTGTTTTTGCAAGCGGAATTACTGCTCCTTGCGGAAGACCACAGACGAAGGATGAGGTTAAGAACGGGGGAAGTACTGCCGCCTACAAGTCTGGCATGTCCTTAACAACGTATTTATCCGGGTACGTGTGGACAGAGTTTTTTTGTAAAACGAGGTGGTGTGGATGCAAGTTTTTGGAGGGGCGGATATTCGTTTTTTTTAAAAACCGGCTACGTGTGGACTAGGCCTAAGAGTCAGTGCTGCGGTAACAAGGGAATTTCCCCACTGTGGGATCAATAAAGTCTATTCTATCAAGCTCTATTAAACTCTTCTTTGGGATTATGTTCCCCTCCCAAACTGACAGCAACGTGTACCTTGCCGTTACGATAAATAAAGTACGATAACTGAAAATGAACTTGTTCACCTGAGTGGTCTATAAATTTGTTTTCTAAATGACTTCAACATTTTCATGAACAGACGTGTTTCTTGTTTAAGAGTTGTAGAGTGTGGCGAGGTCGTGGTGTGTGTGACAGATTTAGTCTCTCTGATTGGTCATGAAGTGCTGTGCTGCACTGATAGGGGGCAATGCTGAGCCCCACAGGTGAGTCATAAACATGAGAAAAGGACGGGGTTACCTGTGCTGGTGCCAACCGTCGTCTGTGTAGTAACCGGACCGGCATCACTAAAACCAAAAACCAGTAAAAACCGTTTTACAGATTTGTTTCAAAACCAAAACCTCTTTAGTCAAAGGGTTCAGTTGTTTGTTACGGTCGGGCGGTGAAGCCTTAACCAGCTGCTTTTCCAGGATAACAGACGTTCCAGATGTTTACCTGCCGCCTGGAGGGACGTCCACGTCTCCAGCCTTAAAGTGTATGATGTAGAGAGCTGAGACGGAGATGACGCTGTGGACACACAAACACAAAGCATTTATTCATGTACTTATACTCTTTGGGAGAATACAGTCTCTTGAGATGTAACGTCTGGTTTCTGAGAGGGTCCTCTGTCCGTAAAGCACTAAAATAGAGAGATAGCAGCTGGAAAATGAAATAAAATAGAATAAAAAGCACTTCAAGGGAAAAATGTAACTAAATTAGTTACCTAAAAATATGCAAAGAAAAAAATAATTTCCAAACCAAAAATAAATTAGACTTCCATACCTTCAAGATAACAGCAGCTAACTCAGAAGCAGTTACAGGTGATGCATTAAAGAAACGTTGTTCCGAAAAAGTCTAAAATAAGTAATTGATCGTATGTCAACAGGTAAATTATTCCACTCCAGTGGGGCCGTAGCACTAAAGCAAGTTTTCCCATCTCTTTTGAAACTTGGGTACAACAAAAGAAGTATGCTCATTAAAGGGACAAAGAGTCTAAACCTACTTTTTCTTGTTGTTTGTGAATAAAGACAGCTTGGGTGGTCAAAAGTAGCACGCCAAAAAGCCAATGCCCCGTGTGACCTACTTTTTATGTAAATTAGAAAGTTTAAAAATGCAAGAGAAAAACAAGGAAGTGGCGTAATTTGCTGTTCCACCTTCATCCACTAGGGGCTGGAGTCACGAGTGAGCAAATCCTCATTGACTCCCATGTTGAAACTGAAAAAGGCTGCGGGATGATGTGGGTGATGGGGCGGAGGGTCTGAGTTTGGAGTATCCAGACGTTCCCTGGAGGTGGGTTCACTGGGGGTGTCTGGGACTGGGGGGCTGCTGCCCCACTCTGGAGGTGCTTGGGTTGCCTCGGGGGGTGGACTACTGGCGGTTGTGAGTGGGGCCCCTTGGGGGATCTCGGCGGCAGCCATGGGTTGCTGCCTGGTGGCTGCATCGCCCCTGAGTGGGTCTGGGGGCTCAGGGTGTGGGGGCGGCGGGCCCCGTGTGGGGATCTGGGCGGGGCCGTGGGGATGGGGTCCTGACTCGTATGCCGCCGGGAAGAAGGCAGGAACAAGCGGCAGTGCATGGCCCAGGCTCAGGGGCCTCAGGTGGACCTTGGCTCCTCTGAAATAATTACAACTCTGTCCCATCACGGGGGAGGGGCATGTCCAGGAGGAGGACCCGACCTTACATACATGCCAGAAATCTACGTGTGGCTTTTAGTGAAAGCCAGGACAAGCTTTTGTACATGCTGCAGTGGTGTGATGAAAAAGGCCGTCGTAGAACAACATGACAGCTGCTGTTAGCAACATCAGGAGGACGGAGACAGGACAGGACGCAACAGTAGAGACTAGAGGATCCCTCTGAGTTACTCTGAGCAGAAAGCGACGCTGGGATGAATGTTCTCACCAAAACGCCACGGCGAGCAGCAGGATGACGGAGCCGGCTTGTAGGAGTTTATTCTGCTGACAGTCGCCGCATCGCTGGTTCCCTCCCTCCTTCTGAAGCTTCACACTTTTCCTCGACTCTGAAGTTGAGGTTGTCGACACACTGCTGCGTCTCTGAGGCTTCCTGCGGGAGGAAACGGGGACCAGCAGGACTGGTTGTTTTTACAGAAGCCTTTTTGGTCAGAACAGGAGGCAAACTCTGCTGTAAAAGTCTAGAATTTCAGCTTTCATTGGGACATTTTCAGCCTTTGCCGATAAAATGTCTTCTAATTGACCAAACGGGTCAGCAGCCAGGTGAACAGATCTCGTTTTACTAACTAAAACCGGTCGGTACCCAGCGGAGCGGAGGCTTCCTGTCAGGCTCTTCAGCTTGGCCAGCCGGCGGTTCCACACCTCCAGCTCCTGAATTCGGGTCTCCAGGTTGTCTGTAAGCTTGGACAGCTGCTGCACGGCCCCCACGTTCTCCATGAAGATCTGTTCCTGCAGTGGAGGTCATGAGGTGTTTATCATGTGGTCACAAACGCCTTCAGAAACAACCATGTAGCATCCAAAAGGGTCCAGACACAGAATAACCTTTCATACACGCCAGAAACAGCTACGTAAGTCAAGGCTGCACCAGCTGGAGGATCCAGACGCACAAACCAACCTCTGCCCACTTATTGTTCCTCAACACAGACATAAACAGTCTGTCCCAAGGTCTGATGCAGGAGCCAGACTGCTGAAGTCCTCCCTAGCTACTGGAAGATCCTACAGGATTTTACAGTTATACGTTAAATAATCATGTGATGAATGACCAAGATGTTTAAATCAGATGTTTGAATAATCTGTGCTTAAATCAATGAATTTAAAATGAACATTGTTCTTACGACGATCCATTTACATCACAGATCAGTGTGAGTTTGATTTAACACGTTAATCGTTGTTTACACGCATACACGTCACAATAAGATACTCGTTAAGGTTAAGAACATCTTTGTATCTGAGGAGGGCGTGGCTTTCTGAGGGATGTTGGTAAAAACTCAGAAATGTGTCAAATTCTGATTGGCCAAACTCGGCCAGAAATCATAACAAAGTAGTTTAATAAACAAGAACTACTTTCCGATTAATTCAGCTTCCAGCTGACTCTCGGTTCGGCCAAATCGGGAAAGAAGCCTCATTTCCTGTCAAAGCCTCTCTGCAACGCTGCAGCTGACACAGCCAAACGGCTCCATAAGAGCCACACTTCCACCTCGGATGCAAACAAGCATTCCAGCTCCTGCTGTGACTCGCAGACATCTCAAGACTGGAGGGGTCGTATCCGGCTTCGGATACCTTGAGGTCACCCGACTTCTGGCAGTCCTGGATCTGCACTGAGGGTCTCCACACGGGTAGTAGACACGGCAGATTGCGTCTGATGCTGTTTTTAATAAACAACTCTCGAGTTTATAGCAAACATCACATTGTTTTACACCCAGATTTCACATTTTCTCTCAGATACACAGAACGGTTGCTACAACATCTAGCTTCCATCACAACACCTCACATCCTCCACACCACCTCTCATTATTCATATCTTGTCATGTATAAATTATTAGTTTAGGAAAATAATTAAATTCATTTTATGAACTACATACTGACTCTGAATTAATACGAAGTGTGTTCATGATCCCTGAATGAGCAAGGAACCCGAGAATCTTCTGATGAAACATTCAAAGATCAATTAGGTTGATATTTCATATTTATATGGATTATCACATCTTATTGGTCATAATTAATATGTATTCCACTACAACCAGACCAGGACTCTGATTGGATGTTCTGCTTAACCAGCCATAGGTGTGAACTACAGCTTACCTCCCTGTAATGTAGTGAGATTAGGGGGTTAAATTACGACCAATGAGATGTGATGATTCTATATAAATATAGAATATCAACCTGATTGATCTTTGAATGTTCAGCCAGAAGATTCTAGGGTTCTTTGCTTATTCAGGGATCATAAACACACTTCTTATTAATTCAGACAGTCAAGTAAATAATTAAAATAAACTTTATTTTCTAGACTAATTATAATACACGACAACCTATGAATAACCTGTACTCAGCGGTTATGAATCCATTTAAGCTGGAGTTGGAGGAGGGTGGGTAAACTACCTTGTCCACCATGAGGAAGTTGGGGATCTTCTCCCCATCTGAACAGGTGATGTCTCCAACCTCCTTGACTGCAGACGGCAGCAGCTCCTTGACCTCCTGTGCGATCACTCCTATGACATCACAGCGTGTTAGTGAACATGGACGCTTCCTGAAACGAGGACTCCGTCAGGCCCAGGGGAGGACAGCAGCACCTGTCTGGTGAGTGTGATCTATCCCCGTGCTGGAGGCAAACTCTGGTTTGTAATCGAACTCGACGATCCTCATCTGCGTGATTCTCTTCAGCTGTTCCTCCGAGTCCACCTGACAGATGCAGCGACAGATGAAGAAAAGCTGAAGCGGCTGAAGGCTTCCTCCCAATGAAGCAAGAGTAAAAGTGAGCAAACCTCCTGAATGTTCTGCTTGGCGCGGCAGTCAGACGGCTGTATGATGGCGCCCATCACCTTGGCGTTGCCACAAACCACCAAAGCTTCATCAGGTGAGTCAGTGTTGATCCCAACTCGACCCTGACAGACCACCGTTTCCTGGACCGCCCCGCGCTGCCACAAGGTGTCGCTGTCTGTGTCGAACTGACCCGGGTTGGACGCCTTCAGGACAAACATGCCAGCGGTTTGTTTTGATGACGCTGATCATTTCAGTAAAGTTTAGAAACAGTTTCTACCCTGACGATGATCCTCTCCGACACCAGAGCGCTCAGAAGAAACGTTTCCTGTCCGACGGCAGCGTACAGACCAACCACCATCTGAAAGTACCTTCACAGACACACCATTAGCATGCAGCTCAGTGGGCTTCCCGGTTCCTCGTGGATCCACTCACATACATACCTCTGGTCAGGGTTGGGTTTGCCTTTCTTCCTCATGTTGTTGGACGTCGTTTCACTGAAGTGCAGTCGTCCAAGTGTCACTTTGTTTATTCTTCCACCAGACAGGGCGACCCTGGAAGATCTTTCATTTAATAATTTTGAAAACCAAAAACTAGTGGAAAATTTATGAAAGTGGAAACTTTAACTGGAATCCACAGAGACACGTCTGATTTTAGCTTGATGGACTTTAAAGGAGACCTCTTATGAATATTAAAACCTTTAAAAAAAGTTATAATGGTTGTAGTGGATCTGTGGTTGTTACAAAACATCTTCATGCACTCTCATTAAGCAATCCCACCAACTCTGCTCTTGACAGTTTCAGTGCCTTCCAGAATGAGCCGTTTCAGGGCTCTTTAAAGAAAATAAGCGTTTTCTTGCCACGCCCACCCACCACCTGACAGGCTGCAATGTAGCTAAATAAAAGACTGTTTTATCTTGTCTGTTGATGTAAAGCTAACTGTGTGTCTGTCGCTACTGCTTCTTGGCCAGATCGTCGTTGTAAATGAGAACGAGATCTCGATCGACTCATCTGGATAAATAAAGAATAAATAAAGCAGGACAGCAGAAGGCCCCCGGGTCGACCCAGGACACGTTGGAGAGGTTACATCTCCAATCTGGTCCAGGAACGCCTTGGGGTCCTGCCGGAGGAGCTGGTGGACAAGGCCGGGGAGAGGACGGCCTGGAGCTCCCTAATTGGGATGCTGCCCCCGCGACCCGGACCCGGATAAGCGGAGGAAGACGAAGACGAAGACGAAGAGGACAGTACGTACCAACTCAGCTGTGCTGCAACTATGCTGTTACGATGTGCAGCCATTGTGCATTTCCTGTTTCAATTCCATCTGCTTCACTCCCGCCAACCTGTTTACTGCTTGTGTTGCTGGAAGCTAACCGGAAGAATGCTAACAAGAAAAGGGGCATGTTGCCACCTACTGTACCAGAGTGGAACGAACTTTATTTGAGAGGCCGGTTTTCTAATGCACATGTACACTTGGATAAACACTCCCAGCTTATTACAATAAAATCGACCTGAATCGACTTAAGCCGGGTGTACGCTGCACAACTTTCCCACTTTTTTGAGTAGATTTTACTCTCGTGCAAGAATCTACAAGATCGGGCGAGTTTTTTGCTGAGCGTCGTGTCGTATACGGGGGTTACGGGAGGCAGTTAACACCACGTGACCAGCTACCGATCAGCTATCATAGGCTTTCACAAATTTTCTGCTGTGTTTGATATTTTGCTCATCCCTTGTGAGGGTATCTCACTGTTGAAGCGGCGCTGCGAGTAGCTGCGACCCAAAAGATACCGGAACCGCTCACGGTACATCCACAAACACGCATCAACATGACTCGCCAGCCGTTTCCCTATTAACACACGTTGGTCATTTATACCCATAAGTCCCTGTGTGTCCTCCTACGGCACTCCCGAAGGACAACAGACACGAATAACAACACAAAAAAGTCTGGTGTGTTGTGTAAAAACTGTTATTTGTAGCATTTTTGGCTAGTGTAGCGTGATGAATTGTCCATTTCTGACCTAAAAGACCCTGCTCTATTTGCTCTGCCCAAGCAAAACCATAAGTTACTGACACAGGCCTATTCCACAAGATATGGGCCAAGGCCACTCATGCTTTGCTCTTATCTAAACTGTTGCTTCTCCGAACAGCACAAGAAAGAAGAAAGAAGACAGAACTCTTTCCCTTTAAATAATAATAAATCAAAGAACTCTTTCTCTATTTTTAATAAGCTAATCAAACAAAGTGTTAGTCCAATAACAAAATGTGAACCAATCTGTGAAATGACAATGTTTATGATCAGTAGTATTTTAATAAGTAATGTAACTTTAAACTAGCTGCACTAGACATTCTCATCCACGTAATGCTTAAAGTCACATGACACATTTCCTTTTCCTGATCCAATCAGAACCTTCCAGATCTGACGCAAGGCGTGGTTTTGTTGGTGCTTGGCAAATCCCTTCTTGTTGTCCTTTTTAATTCGATCGTAAATCAAAACATCCAAATTATAAAACCATGCCCACGTCATCTTCAGTTCAAAGCGTTATCGGAGTGGCCAATCTGTAACTTTCCTCTTCAGCCGAAAGAACCAATGACAAGCTGGATTAAATCTGTTGCATGTTCCACCTGCTGCAACGGCTCCTTTCAGAATAAAGCTGAACCATCACGACCCCTTTTTGGGTCTCGCTAGATGCCAATAAACTGTCGTGACCCGGGAGTATCTCAAGACTGGACTGGTCGGCAGCCGCTGCCTTTCTACCGGCTTCGGTTCCAGAGAAGGTCAAGCTGGACCAAACTGACGGACCTCCAGATTAGCAGTGACACACTGAAAGCTAAGGAGTGACGCAGCAACGGTGGTAATGAACGAAGAGAAAGCAAACGAGATTCTAGCAGCGATTAGCTCATTAAAATCTGAATTCTCAGCGAGACTGGATAATGTCATGGAGGCAATTGAAAAGGTACGGAAAGAAACCAATGACTGTGTTGAACGAGTGACCCGGGCCGAGCAGCGGATATCAGGATTAGAGGACGAGCTGCAAAGCCTGCAGGCCAGCGTTTAGGACCTAAAAGAACACAAAGCAGCACTGGAAGATAAAATCCTCGACCTGGAAACTAGAACCAGGCTGAATAATCTCAGACTGATTAACCTTCCGGAGGGGGCAGAGGGACCGGACTCTTGTGTTTTCCTGGAAAAGTGGATCCCGGAGGTGCTGGGTTTGGAAACACAGAGCTGCAGCGTAGCACTGGAGAGGGCGCACCGCATCGGTCCAAAGGGGGACACGGAGACGCGGCCCAGAACTCTCATCATGAGGTTCCTTAGCTACAAAAGTAAAGTAGCAGTCATCACGGCAGCACGGAACAAGAAAGAAATCCGGTACAAAAACCAGCAGGTGTGGTTCTATCAAGATCTGGCGACAGGAATCCATCAGAAGAGGAAATAATTCGACCCAATACGCCAGGAGCTGCGCAGGCTGGGAGTCAGACATGGAACAGTTTACCCCGCAAAGATGCTGGTTACTTACAAGGGTCAGGTCCATGCCTTCAAGAGCCCCGCTGAAGCGAAACAACTACTAAAAATAATCCAGGAGGAATCACCCAGAGCTAAGTGATGGTTAAAAGAAAGAATAAATAAATAAATAAATAAATAAATAAATAAATAAGCTAATAGACCGGGAGGGATATAAAGAGAGAACTAAACCTGTTTAAATAATAGAATCAAATGGAGTGCTAATAATGTGGTGGATAGTGGTGAGGCTGATTATTATTATTATTGTTTTTACTTAGGTTGTTTACTAGGAAAGTGGTTGGACTTTTCCTCACTGAGGACAGGTTCCAGCATAGCGGTAGTCAGAGAGATGGGTAAAGGTGCTCCTAAGCAAGCCAGGGAGAAAAGGAGTTATGAAAGTTCTGATTGTTCAAATGTTCCAGTTGGTTGTGCTTTTCAGGCAAAAGAACGGCAATCCAAAACAACAAACAAATATTACATAAAATGAACATAGATATAATGTCCTGGAATTGCAGAGGCTTACAACGACCTATAAAGATAAAACAGGTAATGAATAAGATTCAAGATAAAAACTCAAAAGTTGTTTTTTTACAGGAAACACATCTTCCAGAGGAAGACATTTTGAAAATCAAAACCAGTGGGGTAATGATACGAATTCATAATGCAATTCCTATTCAGGCTAAAAAGGTTATTAGAGATAAAAGAGGAAGGTATCTAATTATTCAGGGTAGACTGCTAGAAGAGGAGTTGGTGTTAGTAAATTTATATGGACCCAATGCAGATGATCCCGAATTTTTCGAGGAATTATTTATGAATCTTTCCACATTGACAGGGCAATTCATAATTGCAGGAGATTTTAACTGCACCTTAAATCCCAGTCAGGACAGATCCATGGGAATAGATCAATCTCATATTAAAACAAGGAGTATCTTACAGTATTATACGAAAGAGCTAAATCTAATTGATATATGGAGAGAAAGAAATCCACAGACTAAAACATATTCCTGCTACTCTTCAGTCTTCAAAACATACTCCCGAATTGACTATATTTTAATATCATCTACCCTGCAACACAAGATCCAAAGCTGTGAATATGATGTAATAGCCATATCAGATCATGCGCCATGTTGCATGATATACAAAGAGGATAGACTCTCAAAAGACCCAACAAGATGGCATTTCCAGAATAAGTGGCTACTACAGGATGATTTTATAAAATATTTAGGGACTCAAATCGATATATTTTTTTAAATTAACACAACACAAACATCAGCCGGCATTAGATGGGAAGCAATTAAAGCTTATATAAGGGGGCATATTATAAGTTATACCAGCACGAACCAAAAGAGAAAGAGGGAGACACAATTAAATATGGAAAATAGACTAAAGAATCTGCAAAAAAAAAAGTAAATGAAAGATACGATCCAACAAGCGAAAAAGAATTACTGATTTTAAAGGCGGAATATGAGAAATTGTCAACATTAAGAGCAGCAGCGAGCCTACAGAGATTACGGCAGAGCTTTTACGAACAAGGAGAAAAACCTGGAAAGGTTCTAGCATGGCAAATAAAAATATTAGAAACAAAAATACCAATTACAAATCTGCGGTCGCAAGGGAACAATATAATAGAACCATCTGAAATAAATAATATAATTAGAGATTATTATGAGAAGTTGTATAGCCCTAAAACAGTTAAGATGCAGGATATAACAGAGTTTCTAGATAAATTACAAATACCAAAATTACAGAGAGAAGAAAGAGAGGAATTAGAAATGGAGATCAGTATTACGGAACTAGAATCTGCCATAGAAAGTATAAAATCTGGGAAAAGAGCGGGACCTGATGGCATCACAATTGAGATATATAAAAAATGTAAATCTAAGTTAGGTAAACCACTCCTGGAAATGTTTAAAGAGGCCTTTCAGGAAAATAATCTACCACCACTCATGAATAGAACTCTAATAACATTGCTTCCCAAACCTGGAAAATCGTTTGACGAATGCGGTAATATGAGACCTATAAGCCTATTAAATGTAGATCTAAAGATTATGTGCAA